CTACACTTAATTCAGTACGCTATGCCAAATTTCGTGCAAATCGAAAGATATATAGGGACTTTGGTACACAATTTACCTTAAATCGGACGAAGATATATATGGGAGCTATATCTAAATCTGAACCGATTTTCACGAAACTTAACACACGTCATTCTAGACCTAATTCAGTACGCTGTGCCAAATTTGAATCTGAGCCGATTTTTCTCAATTTCAATAAGGTTCCTCCTTGGACCAAATAAGTGACATATGCCAAATTTTATCCAATTCGGATCATAAATGTGACCTGTACTTTGTTTACAACTTAACATGGACAGACGGACATGCGTAAATCGTGATTCTGTGCATATTATCAAAAGTAACCAAGTGTCTATCTCGTTTCCTTTTGCCTGTTACAAACATATACACAAAGACATAATACCCTGTACCACAGTGTGGTATAAAAAACAAAACTCACAACATATTTTTAGGTCATACAAAGTAACAAATAAAATGCACATATCGCTCATTTGCAGCAAAAAGTTTAAAGTTTTCAATTGACACACACCTTTCAAGGAAAAGAGGAACTTCTACAGCTTATCAATCAGAGTGTGTAAGAGATATTCATCCGAATATTTTACACAACATGATGTCTGATATAGCGAATAATTCTTCATCATTAACTCAGAAATCACGATTTTTGATTTATGCCGGTCTTGCAGCAAATGAATGAATGATATGTGCTCACAATCTCATACACACATTTAACATTTAGCTCCATAAACCCGATCCAGTGCCATTTCAATTAATATGGCCACTGGGGGAGTAAAAATCTCAGAAATGCAACAGAAAAAAATAATATTTCTGGAATTCCATTCATAGTGGCGACACACAAAAATTAGTTGATAGTGGAAAACAGACAGACACACACACACCTAACCTGGTCCAGCATTTAAGCCATGTGCCATCATTCATGCGGCAATAAGTTACGTCACTAACGAAACCCGTTTATTTAACCAATGCGGATTACCTTGTTGTCTGTCATTCGCCGGCAGCAAGACATTTAGCGTTGGCAGCAGAATCTTAAATAACTGTAAATAAATGCAAGCTAGGATTGAAGATGAGCTTTTCTGCACAACACAAACAAAACTTGTTTTGCAAACAAAGTTATCTTTCGAAATAAATAGCAAAAACATCAGCACCACAACAATTTTCCGATGTCTTCACCTTTTAGATTTATTGAGGAAATTGCAATCGTTAGCTAGACTCGCGAAACTTTTTGTTGAATGCAAATACAATAACAACGTTGACAACAACAACCAAATGTTTGTTTGGGTTTTTCGAAATTTTGTTGTGACTATTTTTCTTTCACACACATCTGCTAATATTGGCTTAAAAGTACTTCCGATAAATGTCAGTTTTTTGTTTTGGATGCTGCAGTTGTTGTCAGACTCATCTTCCTGTTTGTTTCCGGGATGTTTTAATGAAATAAGACTAGTTTTTACTATCAGTGGGTTAATTTTTGGGAAGTATTAAATTTTGCCACATGATGCAACAAGCCAAAGTCCAGTTTTAATATGATAAATGACAGGTATTTTCATAAAAAGCAAAATGCTACGATGTACAAATTTAAATATTGGTTTGGTGTAGAGGTGACTAAAGATAGTTTAAATGACGAAGAAAATTTGTTTACAAAAAAATCGCTCAGGAATGTATTACCAAACATGGATCTACGTAGAAATTGTCTGCTCTAGTTTGTTTAACTTCTTCGAAAAAGAAATTTCAAATGACACACATTTCCGTTGGAAAATTCGGAAAGAACCTTCAACATACCGATTAGCGAGATATTTAAATGGGGGCTACATAAAAACATGCAAATATATTGACAAAATTGTGTAAAAACATTTGACTCGTAATGATAGCCCAAAATATCAAATTAGAGCCAATTGGTAAAAATCTTGCACAAAATACAGAATAAAGGAGGGTATCGATATATGGGATCTGCCATAAAAAACTTGCATCAATATTTTCTGCTTAGATATATACCATCCTCGAAAACCTGAAAAACTAAAAATGTGGCGGAATTTTATATGGGGAATATGGACCTATATTAAAACCACTTCGGTTGAAAAATACGTTAAGGGTCATTTAATTCCCAAATTAGAGCGGCGGAAAAATAGTAAAATAAAAAATTGTAAAACCCCAAGAATCCCTAAATCCCAAACTACAGCTACCACCGTTCTAAATGCTGCTAAAACATTAACCCTTTCTGTGTTTTTGTCGAATATATTCGACATTTAAAATTACTCCCTTCCTTTGTAATTTTTCGGTTATCCTATGTACCGTTACAATTGATGTCTTTGTTTTTGCTGAAAACCGCAATCCCAAACATTTCGGTGACCATAAAAATTCCGAAAATGGGGTGGTACCTCTATATATGGCCTAGGTTAAACCATGGACCTATAATGAAAATTGCCTGCAAATATTATTTCCATACTTACCATCTCGAAGCGCAAATTGCAGTCACTTCGTTTGAAAATCGAACCTCAGTTATACTGAGGCACTTTTTTCTATATATGAAACATCGAACCTCAGTCCTACTGATCTGAGAGAAAAATCGAACCTCTAATACTTTTTTTTAATTAGAAACCAGTGAGCGGAGCAGTATAGTCGGACGGGGCCGACCATATGATACCCTACACAACTTCCACGAAAATCTAACTTTCTATGGTTCTATATTCAAAGCTTTGCCAATATTTCGCGATCTAATTCTAATATTCTAATATAACATATTCAGTACAGCCCTTCTAATCACTTGTACAAATTCGCTTCACCGTGGGTTGCGTTGTGATGTTCGGCTTTCAATTTTGGCCTATAAATCGACTCGAAAAAAAAACACCAAAAAATAAGTTTTCTTTCCACTTCATCCCAAAATTATTATCTGATCATAACCGAAAATTATAGGCGTTGTCGGTGACCATAACTTAAACCTCATGGAAAATTCTAAGCGATCAGCGCTATATTTCCGCCCTCTAGTGTGGTAATGGGTTACTAAATAATATATAAATATGTAAGCACCTGTAAATATTTACGTGTAAGTCCCACATCCGAGTACATACGACAATTTAATTGGTATCAATTTAAAGGGGAACCACTCCTCTTGAACATACTATCAACTTCTCGGGTCTAGGACCTTCAGGTGAAAATATATACCCCATAGAATAAAAATTTTGTAATTTTTCACACAAAAGTCAGGGTCCATTTGACCCGCTAAATATTGACCATCTTTATCAAAACAGGCATGCTTATTCTTTGGCCCCCTTCCCCCTTCTCCGTGCAAAAATTCGCGGTGTTTGGGTCATAATTGCGGCGTCTAGAGCGACCACAATAACCGACAAAAATAAAGTTTTTGGTCCATTTCATCCCCTAAATATTAACCGATCTTTTCCAAAAACAATAGGGGTCTTCATTGGCCAGAACCCATCCTACGTGCAAAATTTCGTGAAGATTGGTCCATAACTGTGGCCTGTATCGTATTTACAAATTATAATGGACAGACGGACACACATGTCTAGATCGACTCAGCTAGTCGAAATATTACTGACAACATAGTTGTGTAGGGTATAAAAATCGAGCCTCTAGTCCGTAAGGTAATCTAAAAATCTAACTTCAGTTCTGCTTGGGCACTTTTTTTTTAAAGTTAACCTCAGTTCGCTGACGTACGTTTTCTATTGGAAAATATTGAATGCCAGTACTCTGAGGCACTATTTTCATAAAGTTATGAATATACATAAGTTGGGGCGGAACCTATATAAAAACTTATGTAAAAACATGCAAAGAAATTTTATCAACATTCGGAAGTCCGGAATGCCACATTACAGCCTCTTCGATTGAAAACTGTTGCTAATTTTCCACCATCAACAACGGTTGAAAAATGTAACTAAAATGGGTTGTCATTTTTATTTTAGATAGATCCCCGTTTTGGGGGCTACAACGAGTATTTCGAGGTTTTTTCGGAATGACAAATTTATTTATTCGAACCTCAGTTCACTGAGATATATTTTCTGTAGAAAAAAATCTAACATCAGCCTTCCAATAAAAAATCTGCTGTGGCACTTGTTTTATATAAAAAAATCGGTAATCTTATATTTTGGATTCTCATTGAGTAGAAAAACTCCAGTAGTAAAGTCTGACTGGGCCGACTATATGATACCCCTCACCACTTTGGGTGTATTCTACATATGTATCCCAAAAATTTCATGTCAATGTTAGCTCGAAGGAATGCCGCAATAACGCCATTCTAGTCTCAATTTGATACGTTGTGCAAAATTAAACAAAATTAAACCGATTGCCACGAAACTTAACACACATCTTTCTAGACTTAATTCAGTACCCAATACCACATTTCGTGCAAACTTGAAGATATTTAGGGACTTTGGTGCACCACTTACATTAAATCGGACGAAAGCTATATCTAAATCTGAGCCCATTTTTTCCAATTTAAATAAGGTTCGTCCTAGGGCCATATAAATGAGCTGTACAAAATTTCATGCAATTTGAATAATAAATGCGACCTGTATTTTATTTCCTTTTGCCTGTTACAAACATATGCACAAAGACATAATACCCTGTATCACAGTGTGGTTAATGAACAATATTCCCATATTAATATTCCCCCATATAATGGTACCTCCCATTATTCGGTATATAGGGAGGCTTGGCCAGGTTTTTTCAAAAAAAAAAAAGTAATATAGATTTACGTTTTGGTATATCTCTCATACAATGGTACTGACCGATTTTCTCCATGTTGAAGCATTAACCGGATTTTTCCATCAATGTGGCTGTAATTAAATATATACATGTTTTGACATAATCTTCCATTTTCAGAAATTGTGTAGGTCCAGACAAATTAAAGGAATTTTGAATTTACGGTCCTTAACTTAACATGGGTTTCAATCGATTTATAAAAAAATCGAATTTCTTCACAAAATCATTGAATTTATATTTCATTTCTTTATTTTCAGTTCACTCCGTTCCATTGGACACCATTGAATGTCCTGAAAAGTATGGCGTTCAAGCCTATGCTCACACTGAAAATTGCGATCAATTCTTCTTGTGCACCAATGGCACTTTGACTTTGGAGACCTGTGAAAATGGTTTGTTGTTCGATGGTAAAGGTGCCGTTCACAATCATTGCAACTATAACTGGGCCGTTGATTGCAAGGGCCGTCAATGGGATCGTAAGTATAAAATAAAAATTGATTTACCAAGTTAATTTAAAAAATATGATATTTGTTTGTAGCTACTCCTATTTCTACCCCTGGCTGTGAATATCAATTCGGCATTTATCCCGTATCGAAGGAATGTTCGACAACTTACATTAAGTGTGCCTTTGGAGAACCCATTGAACAGGAGTGTGATGCCGGTCTGGCCTATGATGAACGTATCCACGGTTGCAATTGGCCAGATCAACTTTTGGACACATGCAATCCTGAAGGTAAGGAAATTAAATGATGCAAGAAAAAGGAATAGAGAAATAAATCAATTTTCAGTGAATTTCCAACTTTTAGAAGGCTGACTAAGTTAGATCAGAAATTCGTTACATCAAAAAGCGTTAAAGAGAGTAGATGTGTAAAAATCAGTAAACGGAGCAGGATTGGTTGACCAGATTCCCTTCTACATGTGAAATTTCAGCGACCAGAATAAAAGTCTAAAATAAATTTAATATTCTAAATATTAACATATCTTTGACCTACATTCAAAGTTTTGTGACGATTGGTCCATAACTGCGGTCTGTACTTTGATTACGAATTATAATGGATAGACTGACGGATAGTTTCAGATAGTTGAGATATGACGATCGGTATACTGTTTCCGTATAGACTTCATAAAATCGATATCAATATCGTTATTATTAAATTCTGATCAATGGGAATATCATTGCCATCAACATCCACCTCAATAGCCTATTGCCATGGTAGCATGGACTTGCCGCCATGGAGTGGTTCTGTTTTTACACGAAGTATTTTTACACGAATTTGAAATAACACGAGTAAATACGAAAAAATATTTCTATTTTTACACGACAAAAAAAAACAAAATTACTTTTTTTACATGAACTATTTATTTATTGAAGAAAATTCTGGAATGCTTTTGCTTAAACATCCCTGCCTTAATTAGAGTAACAACCCTGCATGGCATGAATTTCTGATATGGCAACATTTTATATAATTTTTTTTTTTTACACGAATTTCTCGGGAACCATTCTATCGTGTAAAAACGGAATTAGGTGTACCATCTTCTACCACCTATGATAATTCTCCTTAAGGGAACCCCACCCATTCTCGATTTTAATTTTTCAAGATTTTCAATGGGCTGGTAAATCAACACCAATGCTTGTTAAGGTTTGTAACTTTGCACATATATATTTGAAGATTTAAAAGAGAAAACAATAATTTACAAAAAATTTTTGTTATTGTTTTGTTGTTGTTTTTGTAATTAAAGAAAAGTCCTTATTTTTGATGGCGGGAATGATAACTACTCACTGGAACATCGGAATCCGAAAATTCCAACGGTGTTAGGAAGAGTACATGTCTGGCTCTCGTATGAACTAGGATTATTGGCTTCGCTCTAAAATAAACAAAATGGCGGAGCTTTAAAAAAATATTTTTGAAAAATCGCCGTTTTTGACCAAAAACCAAGTTAAAAAATAAGGAAGATCTTCACCGATTGGCTTTAGTTGGCCTAGTTTATACGATAGCTATACACTCACAGAGAAACGTCCCAAAATTTGGAATCGATCGGATCATTAGTTTTGGAGTTATCGTGCCCGCCTTTCGCAAAAGAGAAAAACGCGTTTAAAGTTTGAGAAGCCCTTTAGCCGTCACTTGATGCTGACACAATAAATCGGCTATATTTTCAAGAGTTCTTGAGATTTTCACTTGAAATTGTAGGGACATTCTTGAATTAGAGTAGATTCGAATTAAATAAAAAAATAACCCCGAGAATGGGGGGTCCCCTTAAGTTGGAGGAGTTACCTTGTGTGATATACCTTGTTTGTCAGAGGCGAATCATTTCAGAGGTAGATCCAATTTCCTCAAATAAAATTGAGGAGAAGATCCGACTATCTCTCCAGACTTGCGTTGATGTCCTCAAGTGTGATGGGATTTTGAAGATCATTACAACAGTCCCCAGTAGAGTTAGCAGAGGTCGATGTCATTGGAGGCTTCTAACCAATTGAATCCTCCAAATATCAGCAAAACTCTGTTCAAATACAGTCGGTACACTGACTGCAAACCATAAAACACTGATGTCTCGAGGTCGCTATCATCCTAGCATTTTTCTAATACCTTTAAAATGGATTAGTTAGGACGTCAACATTGATTCGATGATCATTTCTTCCGGGACTCTCCCGCTACTACTTTTTGATTCGCAGCTACCTAATGATTTTCATTGAGTTTAACACTATGTGTATCCTGTGGACGCGTCCAACAGTTTTTATTTGAAACGAATCACAATTTTATGTAGCAACAATTTCCGGCCATATACTCACTCAAACATCAAAATACTACAATTGTCCGGCTATGGTTTCGATCTCATTGTCATTGGAAATATATTTCGATGTTATTCCATCAACTTGAAGTTAAACCCGATCGACTTTGAATAATAGCTGAAAAATGAATAAATAGCTGCAAAATCAAATCAGATCCAAATCGGATGAAAAACGTGTCTAAACCCCCAAAATACAGATTGATAGGAGGTTCCATTATATAGGGACTACTGGGAAACTTGAACCAATATTAATATTTTTTGGGAAACCAAAATACGAATATTGGCGGCAACCCTAAAAAGTGGACCTGAATATGTAGGTTATGCCAACACTTGGGCCTATATGGAATATGTTTTTACCCTCAACCTATGGCTAATGAGTTTTAGACCCCATGTTTATTTGGAGCAAATCCGTTTCAGACACTTTGGAGTCGATTTACAAATGTCTGTCCGCCTGTCTGCCTGGCCGGCACACTATAACTCTCGAAGGGATAAACCGTTTTCATCCAAACTTTACATATCGTAATATTTCATTCAAATTTAAAGTTCAAAGATGGGGAATATCGGTCCATTCCTTCTAGTACCTCCCACAAACACTGACTGACAATTTATTACTTGTTTATTGAACAAAAATGCCGGCTCTCTTCGCTGCAAAAGAATTCCTGCAAAGCCGAATAATAAAGAATTTTCCAGTCGTTTCTTGAGGTACATATAATCGAAATGTATAACTTTCAATGTCGATGTCCGCCCGTCTGTCCATGTGTTTTAGTAAATTCCTATATATTTTAATTTATTTCATGTCTGTCCTATGACATGAAAATTTGCATGGACTGCCGTCTTGAGCCCAGAATGTCGTATATTGAGTATTGCCCCAATATATTATCAGATTTTTATATCGGTTCAAATATATATGTAGCTTTCATGTATAAATCGTCCTATTTCATGTACTACATCTATCCAATTGATGACGAAATCCGCATGGGCTTCTGATTCAAATCGGTTTAGATAAATCTTTCACATATAATTTCGTCTGTTTGAAAATTTGGATATCGATATATTCCAGCCATATATAATTTATAACACGTTACCATAAGCTTCTTAGAAATCCTCTTGTATAAATTCATAATACTATAGGATATAGCAGACACAGTCCGTCTGTGGTCGTTTCTTTGTTGAAAGTTGGGACACGTTTCCCAATCTAATTGGAATTAATTTGATATTTTGTGTTGTCATTCTCATAACAAATCTTCAACTTTATTTTGTGTTCCGGTTGGGTAACTTTATACTATAATAATGGTACCTCCAATTTATTTAGCTATTAAACCATTTAGCTATTAATCCATTCGGTATTGGCCCATTTTTCAATACATCCATTTATAATGATCCTTTCATTTTCATTTCTTCGTACATAGCGTGTAATCATTGTTATTTTTATATCTTTTCAGCTGTTGTTGGTTTCAAATGCCCCACTAAAGTTGATGGTCCCGCCGCTCGTTTCTGGCCATTCCCACGTTTCCCAGTACCCGGTGACTGTCACCGTTTGATTACTTGCGTTGAGGGACATCCACGTTTGATCACCTGCGGTGAAGATAAGGTCTTCGATGAAACTACCCTTACCTGTGAGGATCCCGAAGAAGCCCATTCGAAATGTGGCAGTTATGGCAAATAAGAACTCTACAATACTTCTGAATGAACAAAACTCTCAATAAATCAAAATATGTAAATCAATTTTTTTATACAATATCCTAGCACTTGATTGTTCACTTCTTATCGTCTCTTTGATTGTTTATGTAAATAATTTATCACTTTTTCTTCACGTAATAGAAAAAATTAACGAAGCAGAAAACAAAATTTATTTAGATAATTTTTTATATATATAAATTACACCTCCTATTGGTATCAAGCTTCTCTTCGATATATATTGTATGTAAATGTATAAATACTGTTGTAAAAAAATCAAATTAACAATAAAAATATTTTATTTTTATTTATTTAAAATTGGAAACGGATGTTTGTTTTCAGAAAAGAATTTGGGGTTTATTGTATGAGTGACTTAACTATTAATTTATTTGAACGGACCAATGTTATAGTTATGAAACGGCTGTATGAAACTATTAACAAATCTATGACGGCAGCAGATTCCTGTTTCCAAACACCGCGACAAATGTTAAAAATGTAACCGACCTCCGTAATGATTTACAAACTACCAAAAAAAGTATTTTGGTAAACTGGCTGAAGAAAATAAATATATCTGTAAATGCTACCAGATGTTCCTATTTACTCCAAGTAGAACGCCTCTTCCTCCTACAGAACGTGTTAAATTGCTTGACTTTCACTTAAGCGTGATTTACCTCACCATTAACACACAACGATCCATGGTAATTGATCAACGATCCACCGGAATAATAAGTTAAACACGCCTGAGTAAAATGGCGCTTACCCTTGAATAAGTGTGGGCGGGAACAGAAGAAAAAAGTTTCTACAGATGTAGTGGTTTGGTCTGGTGTGGACAATTACTCAAGGAATATCAGAAAACTCAAATAAATTAGACTCCGACCGCAACACAAATAAAACCATCGGTAGACCCCCTCGGAAAAATGGCATAATAAGCTGCACAAATGCATAAGTTTATCATAAAACGGAAAGCTACAAGTCGAATCCTCATTAGGTGCCTCAGAATCTTCACTTTTCGTCGAAGATGATGAGATATCTTGAAGAGGAAGTCATTGCAAAGTCCCTGAAATATCTTATGTCTCAAAAAGCCAAGAACGTGGTACAAAAATGTTTTGAAATTGGCACAGCTTTGCTGAGTTGACAGTTCTCAAATTCGGGTCGTTGCGGAGCATAGACCCGATTTTCGTGGGATAAAACGAACATCTCTCCAGATGTGCAGAAATTTGAAACGTGACTTGCAGCCGTTATAAAAAAAACAAGTGAAAAAGCGTTAAGTTCGGCCGGGCCGAACTTTGGATACCCTCCACCATAGGTATACTGGAAGAAACTTTAAATGAATATATAGGGAACATACCAAAAAGTGGACCTACACCGGCATTTCTACAAACTGATTATGAAAACCATAATGTATTTATTTATTCTTTGATATTTATATCCTCAGTTTATATCCTCAGTATAAACTTTGATACGATGATAATGTGCCTCATCGAAATATTGGTTCTAGACCCCATGTTTCTTTGGACCAAATCCATTTCAGAAAAGTTGGATTTCATCCAATCTTTGCACATCTTATTATTTCTTCCAAACATAGTTCAAGTTCGAAGATGGGGAATATCGGTCTACTCCTTCTGGTACCTCCCACACAAATTGGTCAAAATTGTGGGTTGGGTGGAAGGTGATGTTTCTATATGATAATTGGTATTGCAAAAAAACATTTGTATGAGTACGTCCCAGGAGGTTATACCTTAAGTGGAACCAATGTTGATTACATCGTGCAGGAATTGCCGAACATTTTGTAGTTATCATTATATGAGATGTTATGCCAAATTGATGAATGATATAGGTCTATTTCGAAACTAAAATTGTTGAATCAGAATAATTTTTTTACGCTAACTATTAAAAATACCTAAAATCGGTTTGTATTATTATATGAGGGCTAGGCATAAATGCGGGCTATAGTTCATTATCGAACCTTAAGTTATAGTTCTTTTTATCTGGATATCCTCCACAGGTGAAATGATTACAACAGAGTTTTAGAACCAAACCCAAAACGCGGAACAAATAAAATAACTATTTTAATATAAACAAGTGAAAAAGCGTTTAGTTCGGCCGGGCCGAACTTTGGATACCTTCCAGCATAGATATACTATACCGATTTCTACAAACCGATTCAAGTTCGAACATGGGGGAATATCGGTCCACCCCTTCTGGTACCCTCCACACAGGGGCTAAGCGTAAATATATAAGGTTAATTATCGAACCATATGTTCTGGTTTTTTGTAGATTGGGTGATTACAACAGAGTCTTACAACTAGGGTTTGGGGACGGGAATTCCCGTTCCGGGTATTCCCGGGATTTCCCGATTTTTTTGATATCGATATTCCCGGGATTTCCCGATAGTATTTCCCGGGAAAACGGAAATGGTATTTCTAAATAAATATTAATACGGAATTAAAAATTTCCATGTTTAAGGCATAAATAGAATGGATCCGTTGATCCATCCGTTTTATTATTTGTTATCGATAATACAACAACTACAAGGGGAGATTTAATGTGTGTATAAGTGGAAGATGCTCATTTTAAAACCGATTTATAAAATAGACGGCTTCGAAATTCGCTGTAGCAACTGTTTGAGATAGGGCGAACGTCATGAGAAAATTTATTCTGAATGTCCTATTAAAGGGTTATTTTGCTAGAATCATGCCATAAATTTAAATTCTCTGTATTGAAAACATTGTAAGATCAACAAACTTCCATCGGCCATTCAATTTCACAGATATTACAAAAAGAAATAAGTGACCGACGTGACTTCAAATATATATCTAAACTAAAGTTTTTAAGAGACCCAGATAGTTTAGCGAATACGGATGTGCCAAAAAAGACTCAAATGTGTATACAGAAGATATTTAAGTTTTAAATGAAGTCGAATCGGTCATCTAGTAGTGATGAATATACGCCAAAGGTATACATGTTTTGAAATTAAATTAAAATGGTTACAAAGTCGACCTCTATAAGATCAAAACCTTGTCACAGTAGTTTTTTTTAAGAAATAATCTTTATATGAAGTGAGTAAAACTCCATAAAATGTGGGAGAATATTTTCAATTGCTGGACACTTTGGCATCAACATAAGAAACAGTATATCAAGCAACCTTTGCACAAATTAAAAATTCTTCATATGATTGTTAATACAATGTTTTGAAAAAACATACTAAAATACTTTTATCTGAAAATGAATTCTTTATTATTTCTTTTTAAGTGTTATTGTACAAAGACCTAGAACGTAAATTTTTTATAATTCTAATTATTTAATTAATATAATATCATTCCTACCCTTTAATATTTTTGCTTACAAAGGTTGTGAAAAGTCCCGGGAATTCCCGGGTACCCGGGAATGAAAATTTTGAATTCCCGATTTCCCGGGAATGTAAAAAAGTCGGGAATTCCCAAACCCTACTTACAACCAAACCCAATCACGGAACAAATTATATAACTATTTTAATATAAAAAGGGGGTTATATGGGGACAACTCCAAGAAGGGAGCGAATATTAAAAATTGTTGGTAGGGAGATTTGTTACCACAAAATACCAAATTGCAGCGAATTCGGTGGAAAACCGCGCTCAAGAACCCCAAAATACCGAAAGTTGGGGGTGCCCTTATATGGGAAGAGATTTGGTACATATTAAGAACTCAAAATACTATATTACAGCCAATTCGGTGGAAAAATACGATTAAAACCCTCAAAATACTGAAAATTAGGAGGTACCGTTATTGGGGGCTACCAGAAAAAGTGGACCTATATTTATAATTTTTTTGTGGAGACATTTAGTATCCAATAAGAACTCAATGTACCAAATTTCAGCGTATTCGGTTGAAAAACGCGCTCAAGAACCCCAAAATACCGAAAATTGTGGGTACTTTATATGGGGGCTATCCGAAAAAATGGACCTATATTTATAATTTTTGTGGAGAGATTTGGTACCTATTAAGATCTAGAAATACTAGATCACAGCCACTTCGGTGGAAAAATAAGATTAAAACCCTCAAAATACTGAAAATTAGGAGGTACCGTTATTGGGGGCTACCAGAAAAAGTGGAGGGTACTGTTGAGCTATGCCTAAACGTGGACCGATATATCCGATCTTCGAACTTCGAGCAGTACCATGTCCAAATGATTTAAAACGCTTCATATTCGAATTTAGTCATCACAATTATTTTTATTCTTCTAAACATGAAAATGGAGAATAAAAGGTGTTAAAAAGGCTTATTAATAATGTCATAGTTATGTACCCAATCCGCGAGAAAAATATTTTCCTTGAGGATCCAATTACTTTCGGATATTCATGATTGAGCTGAATTTTTTTCCAAGTAGTAAAAATGCCCATTCCGCGTTTAAAACCATCAAGAAGGGGTTCCCTTCGGGCACTCTCTTTCAACCGTAATTCCTCTTGGCAATGTGATTTGAATTAACACACTAAATAACAAATATTTAATTTAAAAATACAAAATCATTCCCCCAATAATTCAGAAAAAATAATAAATATTTTCATATTTTTGAATAAAATGTATGTTTGTATATTTCGTTTATCGTATTAATTATAAATTTATAGTAGATTGAATATAATAAAAAATAAAATAAAATGCAACTTGACAATAAAATAAAACATTCTTGAGATTGTTCAATAAAACAAAACACATAGAAATATAACACAATACAATAAAAAGATTCAAGTCGCACAATAAATACTTATAATGTGTTTTTCTTTTCTTTTTGTTTGAGTATACGGGACAAGAAAATAAATTGGAGATACATTGATTTGTCGTATAATTCGTAAAAAATACTTTAGTTTGTTTTTAACAAATTGTGTGCTTATTGCATTGCAGTTAAGAAAAAAGTCTTCAAATTCCAATCCATGCTCGGAAGTCATATGGCCACACTAATGCCACCGGACAATTTTAGTCAATTATGTGTCGTGTATGCTCCTGGGGAGTTGAGAAAACAATTGCCCTTATAAGACCACAACGTACCGATTCACTGGGATCGCCAACATTGAATGAGAATTTGACACGATTGCATTCGACATCGAGTACCGAATTGTACATCGGATACCAACCAATTTTGTTAAATACCACAAATACTTTGTAAATTTGATTACGATATATGTAGACGGGACGATCAAAAGAGATGTCCAAAAGTGAATCGTAGCGAACACGAGATGTACAATGTGTATAGCTAAGACGAGATCCTTGTATATCCTGGATGTGGGCATAGAGAATTTCACTATACCGTTCCGAGAATCCAGCTGAATTCATAAGTTCACCACAGAGAACTTGAGTGGGCACCTGGACGCCTGTAAGTAGAGAATAATTATGATTACATTGTTGTTTTTAAAATAAGTCGAATAAGTTCAACCCCTTACCAGTTATCCAAATATTTGTATCGACTTGAAAAGTTAATCCGCAATCACTAACACTGGTATTACGATAATGAAACTGGGGACTTCCAGTGCAAACACAATACGAACGCCTTGTATCGTTGGTGGCCACTTCATTATCACTTACTGGTACAATGGGTATCCCAGCACTGACTCTTGGCATTAATGGATTTGGATTTGAAACCGGAAGATTATTACAGGGATTGGCACGAGTCGAAGCCAACACTTGAGCGGGGATGTGATCCATGGAGGAATCCATGGGTGCAAAACTACAAATATTACCACTGCCAGGTGGTGGTAAGGAGTGGCGATATGAAGACAAATCACGATTGGTACGCTGTTCATAGTAATTGCGACTGCAACGCGACCTACAAAAGCCCTCTGGCATAGGACAATCATTGATGGATGGGCTAGAGATCTCAATGAGGATGGCCAATGCCTCATGTTGCTGCAAAAGTTTGGAGCGAGCTGGGCCATCAGCAAACTGCTGTGGAGTCATGGTGAGGAAACGTATTTTCTTAACAGCCTGCCTTAGCATGGCCTCATCCACCATAAGACGCTGGTCATCCATGAAATAATTGAGATTGTCAACAGCAGCGGCTGCAGCAGCATTGGCAGCCGAAGCAGATGTTGAGGGTTGTTCATTAGGTGGCGGAGCAACAGGATGGGGAATATCATTTTCCACAACCACTACATCCGGAGATGGTGATTCATGATGATGATTGTAATTACCATCATTATTTTCTTCGTTAAACTCCTCCTCGTGGCCCTGCATCATGGCATTAACATCCGGTTCCATTTTAATCTCCTCTACCGGTATTAAACCCATGCCACCGTTTATCGAATTATTTGGATTATTTTGCGTTGGGAGATTTGGAACACTATCATCCCGCAGCATACTCCGCTCGTTGGCAAAACGCAACAAGGCATTGAAAAGGTCCAATTCCGAATCAATGTTTAATTTATCCTGATCCAAAATTGCCATCAATGTGGACACTTCAATATCCAAGAAACTGGGATCTTCCAAGACTTCTCGTGTATTACCAGCAATTAACTGAAATAAATGACACGATGATTATCGAGTATAGGAATGTTTTCCTCATAGGGACTTACCTCCATACTGCTCTGCATTAGACGAGGCTCATCGAAAAGTTTAGCAAACTCATATGCCCTACAGGCATTTTTCGGACTCAAATCAGCCCACAAATATTGCGTGCATTGCTCCACCACATATGGCAACATGTACTTCTTGGCCACATAGCATAGCTCGCATGCCTTGTCAAAAGAGGATATATTAATATTATCCGAATAGATATACTCCAGCATTGCCTCAAATGCATCCGGCTGTACATCGGGTATAACAATTGGATCATCTTTATCCGCCAAATGTCCATAGAACATTGTCTCAAACACTGGGGAGGCCATTGCCAGGATAAGCTTGTGGCCACCTATGATTTTTTGATTCGGTGCTGTTCCCACCAAAAAACGACAATCGGCCCATTTACCTGTGGCCAACAAATGCATACCCCGCTTCTTTATTTCGATAAAGTCATGCTGCCAATCCTGACCCATTGTGATTTATCTTCTTCGTTTTATTTGTTTATATATTGTTGTTGAATCTATTTATTTTTTACGTCGTCCTCCAATTATTTTGCATATATCCCGCAAGAAATTCTCTAGAATTTTTGTTTATTTATTATTGTATATTTTTTTGCATATCTAACTGCACAAATACTGATTATTCGATTACTTTTTCTCTATTGCGTTTTAATTTTTCTTCGTATGTTCCGAGGGTTGCCAGATCGTTGGATATTGTTTGGCTATGTAATAGGAGAGATGACCAAAATTAGTATTTGTTCACACACAGGAGAATTTTATCTTAATACATAAAAGAGCTTGGTGTTTATTGGTGTTTTTACCCGATATGTATTTTACATATGCGCTGTCACTTTATTTACATATGGAAATCGAACTCGCCATGTGGAACATACGGACAGCACATACGTAAAATACATATCGTGTAAAAACACCATACGTGAGTGGCTGACAGATCAACGCCCAGACGAAACGGCTGAAGTTAAAGCTTGAAATTTTGAGTGTGGCTTGTTGTTGGTGTGTAGGCGTGAGATAAGGCTGGGTTTTTGGAAATTCAAAATAGAAGGGTACGAATAGTACTAAAATGTACTAAATATGGCACTCTTTATATAAGGTAAACGGGAAGAGATAGAATTCTGAAATGTAGAATGTAGGGACACTGATAGAAAATATTAAAGAGTTTTTGGAAAATCGAACTATATGTGTACGAAAAATACTAAACTTTACTAAATTTAGTTCTAATTTCATTCATATTGATAGAATCTTAAAATTTTATCTGGAATATAGGTTGCGAAGTGGTGTTGATGTATGAAATTGGATTTAGAAATTCGTACTTTTCTGTATGAAAAGTACTAAATGGTACTAAATTTGGTACTATTTGCACTTAGTGGAGCGTATAGATGGTATCCTGAAAATAGGAATTAGGATTATTATTGGAGTACAGGATTGGGGTAGTTTTAAGAAATCGTGCTTATTTTACGAAAAGTACTAAGTGGCACTAATTACTGTTGGAGTATACAATTGAGGGTACAAAAAGTACTAAATATGGTACATCTTGATTTTGTGTGAAGGATAGAGCTGGGATCCTAAAAGTTTTGCAAGGTTGAGGTAGTTTTGAAAATTCGTACTTATAGGGTACAAAAGGTGCTAAATGGTACTAAATTTGGTACAATTTGCATTTGGGTGATATGATAGAGTTGGATTTTGAAATTTGGAATTTATATTACCGTTAAAGATGGAAAACTTAAATGTGAACTTAATGGTACATTTACATTATCGTTAACCCAGTGGGTTATAATTGTCAATTCCATTGTTAAATGTCAAATAAATCCTCATAATGTAAATGCCGTTTAAGATTATTATTGGAGTATAAGCCTGAGGTAGTTTTGGAAAATGTACTAAATTTAGTACATATCAGATTTTGCTGAAGGGGTAGAACTGGAATCCTGGTAGTTGCACGTTACTGTCGGAGTGTAGTAGTACGTTTACATTTAACCGGATTTAGTTAACCCTGTGGTTTTCAAGTGTCAATTCCTTCGCATATATGTCAAAAAAATCTTCATAAATTAGGTTAACCCGGTAAAAAGTTCTAATGTATATGTCGTTTAGGATAGAGATAGTTTTGGAATACGGGTACGAAATGTACAAAATGGAACCGAATCTGGTACAATTTGGATTTTTGCGAATAGATAGGCTGGAATTCTTAAATTTGGACTTACTATTACTATTTGAAAGCAAGATTGATGTACATTTGATACAATTTGGACTTTGGTGGAATTAAGATTGCTGTTAAAGTGTAGGATTGATGTAGTTTTAGAAATTCTTTCTTATGAGTATGAAAAGTACTAAATGGTACTAAATTTGGTACAATTTGGATTTGGGTGAATGGATAGAGCTGGAATCCTGATATTTGGAATTTAGATTAATGTTGAAGTGTAGGGGTGCACTTATGCGTTCCAAAAGTGCTGAATGGTGCTAAATGTGGAAGCTGTAGGTATATCCTTGAAATTCTGGTACTAAATGGTAGAAAACTTGATATTAGATGTAGGAATAGAGAATTATAGTAGAACAAATTATACAGTATTCACGATTTCCATTTAAGATATTATTAATTTTTTTTTTTTTTATTTCCTTTCTACATAAGAAGTAGGGGCACTTCGCTAGTAATAGTGTTTTTACACGATATGTATTTTACATATGTGCTGTCACTTTTTTGCATATGGAAATCGAACTCGTCATGTGAAACATACGGAAATTTCAATGTGTCAAAACGATATGCAATTACATATGTATTTTTTTCCGAATAGGACGCGTTCTATTTTCGTATGTGAAACATGAGGAAATCAGCTGTTTGAATGAAACACATTGTTGGAAGAAAATATTTCCATTGCAAGTCAAAGAAAAGGCAACAATTACAAACTATTATTTCGTTTGTAGGTGTTTAATAAAAAAATATGTTGATTTAAGAAAAAATAAAAGTGATTTTTTTGTTTATAGGTTATGTCATATGTAAAATACATATGCCGATTTGAACACAAAAATAAATGTTTTGTGTACGCAGCTAACAGTACGTTTACATTTAACCGGATTTCGTTAACCCAGTGGGTTTAAATTGTTAATTCCTTTGCATATATGTCAAATAAATCCTCATAAAGTAGGTTAACCCGGTAAAAAGTTCTAATGTATATGCCGTTTAATTTTGACACACATAAGGAATTACATATGGATGAAATAAGTGACAGCACATATGTAAAATACATATCGTGTAAAAACACCATAAGCAAATAATTGTGAATAGGGTACTTTATATGATGTGGATTTACGAAATCCTAAAAATAAATTTAGGCTATTTACACCGGCTTTGAGATAATTCCAAATGATTGTCAGCTGTTTTTTATTTACATATATACACACACTCACAATTGATTACAAAAGTAAAAAATACCAAATTTTTATTTAAAATAATTTGGTATTTATATTTGTTATTTAACTAAAAATCATTTTAGCCACTCATGAGATTCCTTTAATAGTGTGAATTCAACTATATCATGCAAAATGTATAATGGCGATAATCTTTATTATTTAAAAAATTTATTATAAAGTCAACTGTTATGACTATACCAAGAACTTTGATACAGTTGTTGCATTTACTTGAAATGTTCTTAAAGTATGAATAAAAACTGGAAAAATTGAAGGAAACGTTATGAGTTCTTCTCAATATTATGTTTGTGGCATTGTTTTATAAATATTTTTCATAAAAAAGTAAATTTATGGACGGAATCATTCCCCAAAAGTTTACTATTTAATTTAGCGATTTTCCCTAACGCCAAATTGACATCACTGACAATAACTATCAAACGACTACAATACGCAAATCTAGAACAATTTGACAGATGAGTTTATTGAGTTTGCTATCTCGAAGCCGGTTAATTTTAAGGAACACTTGGTAAGGATAAAACCTACATTTTACCAAATAACAGTTAACATTAATTGCAAATTAACATATTTCCATTTATATTCTATTTTGCAGTTTGAAGACTCCTAACAATTTTAGGGTTATGTCTTCTGAAGTAGAAAAGGCCCAATCGGCTGCGCCGACAGAGGACACTATCTTTGGGAAAATTCTTCGCAAAGAAATTCCCTGCAATTTCATTTATGAAGATGATAAATGTGTGGCCTTCCACGATATTAATGCTCAGGCACCAACCCACTTCTTGGTCATACCACGTAAACCAATTGTAATGTTGTCCAAAGCCAGTGAGGAAGATGAAAGTTTGTTGGGTCATTTAATGTTGGTCGGCAGCAAGGTTGCCAAGGATTTGGGTTTAGAGAATGGTTATCGTGTTGTCATTAACAACGGCAAAGATGGTGCCCAGTCGGTGTATCATTTGCATTTACATTTCTTGGGTGGTCGCCAAATGCAATGGCCACCAGGCTAAGATTGTGTTGTATTATACATGCATGAATTTTCAAAGCATTTGTAAAATGTTGAAACTGAAATAAAGAATGGAATATAATTCCTTTATAAAGTAGTAGTAAAATAGGTTTTTTATTTATTAATTATAAAACATTTGGTTCCATTAGTATATTTCCCGTTTGTGTGGGTGAGTTTGTTTTCGTTGCATTTCCGGCTGTTGTAATATTGGTCATATTGTAAGGCATTGTAGAGGCTGTATTGTAACGTCGCCTATCAGTTATGCCACTACCATAAAATCCTGTATCACGTGTCTGTTGTTTCTTTTCTATGACCCGATCGAAAAATCGTGATAGCTTCACAGCATCTGTTGTACCCGCCGATATACTTCTGGGATCGCGGCAATTAAGCCATATTTCTTCTGCTCCACATTGTTCAGCTATAATGAAAGATGAATTATGAAATTAGATAAGAAAATATTTACATATTCCAAATTCTTCAAAGTCCAATATTAAGCAATTACAAATCACTTTTTAAAAATATTCCAAGTCATTTTATATTTGAAATGTTGTTGGTTTTATTGTTTTATTTCTGATTTGAAGTAGTTCGAGTCTTTATCTCTAAACGAGATAGCCATAGAGAATACACAATTCGTGCCGGTTATTATCTTTGCAAAGTTCTTGACGTTACATCTTGATAATAAAAGCGGCAAAATATTTTTTTAATATCTTAGTATATCTTAATATAATTGGTCGTCCAAATAAAAAGGTCTGTGGCATCTAGTAGTTTTAGTAGCCGTTCTGAAATCTGGAAAGTGTACAGGATGTAAATGTTTAAACAATTGAGTGAACCTGGTACAATACAAAATAAAGCGTATGACTTCTATGATGAAGTGTGTGGGCATTGGACGTAATATTTGGGCTTGTTCTAGTCTAACCAAAATCTGTAGACGCAAAATGATAAGATTGAACTAGTGAGCGGAGCAGTACAGTCGGACGGAGCCGGCCGTATGATACTCTACACAACTACTCTATTCTTTCTATGGATCTATATTCCGAGCCCGGCAATAGTTC